GCGCTTGATGTGCCGGTGCAGGTGGTCGGAGCGCGTGAAGCTCTTGTAGCAGAACTCGCACTGGTAGGGCCGCACGCCCGTGTGGATGCGCATGTGGTTCTTGAGGTCGTAGTTGTGCACGAACTTGGCGTTGCAGTGGATGCACAGGTAGGGCCGTTCCCCCGTGTGCTTCCTCATGTGGATCTTCAGCTTGTCCTGCCTGCAACGCAGAGTCTGAGTCAGTTCCTGCCCGGAACCCCAGGGGGCACGCCTAACTCTCTGCTCCCCTTCCTCCAGAACCCTCTAAGGCTCCCTACTACCATGGCGACAATCCCAGGAACGGGACCCCAGCTAAGACTTACCTTCAACTACTGTGCCACCCCAAACAGGTGTGGCTTCTCGCCTGGATTAGAGAGTGGAGCAGGAGCTGGGTCCTGGAAAGCCACAGTCACCCCAGAACTTCTTTTACACATAAGCTCAGAGGAATGAAGTGCCCACTCGGTCAGGGCCTGTCTCACTGGAAATAGACTTGTGGGGGACACATGCCCCTGAAAGTCGGCGGTCTTCCATGTCCTCCAATGGGGCACCCACTTCTGATACTGGATTGCACCTTCATCTCATGTCTGCTTTCTTAGGGGTTCACCTCGTGCTTTTGCTTGGAGGTCCTGGTCCCATTCCAGCCCCTGGGCTGTTGAGATCCGTCTGTCCTCAGCACTAATCTGCGAGGCTACAGGGACCAGGCACACCTTGTTCAAGCCTCCTGCGCTGGGGTTTCCTTTCCCCAGCCCTGGGCTCTCCTCTTTGTCTGCAGACAATTCCAGGGTTTACAAAAGAGCCAGGTGCAACAAGAACGCAGCCTAATCTAGGGCAGAGCTTTTCAGGGTTTAAGCGGTATTATCAGAGGCAAAGTATGATGTAGGGGGTGTGGCTCCCAGCAGGGGGCGGTGGGAGCCCCTGCTCCAGCTGCAGACCCACCGCTAACGTGCTGGGTGACCTTAGCAGAGTTACTTAACCTCTCTGCACAGACCTGAACCTAGGACTAGATATTAATTCCCGTTGTTCAGGGCTGATGGTGAGAATTTGGGTTTGTGTTGAGCTAGGTTGGGCACACCTCCTGGTGGTCTTGAGAGGAAAACTGACACCACAGGGTTGTTTTCGTAAACACCAAACACTGCCTAAATCCGCTAAAGGAACCTTTCAGCCTCCACTCTGAGAGAGTCAGTTGGGCTTCAAGAACTTTCAGGATCCTTCTGCAGGCTTCCTTGACTAGACCCAGTAGGCCAGAAAGCTGTGTCCAGCCTCCCACCTCCTCCCTGCAGGTGTGGCTTGGGTGGAGCGTCTGCCTGTAATTTTTGGCTGAGGTTTGAGGTTGGAGCAGATGTGGATCGCAGGCATCCGCCCTAAAATGGCCAGATTTAAACCACACTCAACCCCAGGACAGCAGGAGCGGGTCTTGGTCGCGTGGTGTCTCCTGGCCGCTAGAGGGCTCACTGGCTCTCGTTTTCCAACTAGCTCCCCAGGGGCAGGCCAGGAGAGAAAAGGACATTCATGTGAATGCTGGCAGGGTGCAGGGAGAAGGACCGGAGAGGGCAGATCGGCCCCTCCCGCCTGTGCTCACTGGAAGGCTGGAGGGCACTGGGAGGTGCGGGTGGAGAGTGGGGTGGGCAGGGAGGAGACAGGGAATGCTGCTGCTGTCCTCCACACACCAGGCCCTCCCCTCTCCCACATCTCCTTGTCCCTGCCCTTCCCACAACCCACCAGCTGCCCCCAGGCTGCACGGGACCCTGCTGTGACATCGCATGCTCCTTTCTCCCACCAGCATGCTGCTCTTATGGTATCTGTAACCCACATTTCACGCAGGTGATTGGATCTGTGAGCAGGAAGGGGCCTTGGGGAGCATCCAGGCCAGTGGATCTCATACGCGTTGACCATTATCAGAACCACTATCAGGGTTTGATGAAAGATACTGGGCTCCACTCCCAGACAGCCCGAGTCAGTAGGTCTGTGGGGAAGAGAGCCGGGAATTTGCATTTTGGACAAGTTGTCAGGTGCTGCTGCTGCCGCTAGTCCAAGAACCACGGGCCTAGGTTCATCCTTCATCTGGCTAGTGGGCAAACTGAGGCCCAGGGAGGGGAACTCAAAGCCGCCCAGAGGGCAATGGCAGAGCCGGGCCGAGAACAGCCGGGTCGTCTTTCCTCACCACCGCACTGTGACCTGTGTAAAAACGTCGGGGTGGGGCTTTAACTACGTCATCGCATTTAATCCTCACCACAACCTTAGAAGGTTGATTTTTCAAAAATCACTATTACACACATGGAATAGAATCGATCCTGAGGGTCACCCTCAAATAATGGAGAGAGTGCAAACGGTAAAGCTTCCAGGGTGGAGGGGCTCCTTTAAATATGCACTGCTGCTCCCAAGCTTTTCATTAGGGCATCTAAAATAAAGCACGTTTCAGTGGCGATTGGCCCGAGTGTGCAAGAGGGGATGAGAAGGCGCTTATAACTTCCTCTTATTGAGCAGCTGCTATGGGCAGGGGAATACACCATTTCAGTGACCCTGGAAGGTCGTCATTCACAGGCAAGTTATAGTGCAGGAGAGGGGCCCCATGCCGGGTGTGGGAGCCTCTGCTCCAGCTGCAGGCCCCGCCTCCCCACTAACTTGCTGGGTGACCTTTAGGCAAGTTACTCAACCTCTCTGTGCGGAGTTGAACCTAGGACTAGACATCAGGTCCTATTTTCCAGGGCTGATGAGAGAATCTGGGTTGGCACGAGCTTGGTTCAACAGACCAGGAATAATTTCCTCACTTGGATGGAGGAAGAGCTAGGGGCTCAGAGACATCAAGCTGCCTTCCCAAAGATTATCAGCTAGTGAGAGGCAGGGGGTCCTGGAGGGCTATCTGGGCGTGGTTTGTCTGCGCGCTGTTCCAAGGACTTTCATGCTGGGTGCTCCCAGCCGGAGGCCTGTGGGAGCTGCCTCCTAAAATCCAGCTTGAACAATCAAAGCAGGGCATCGGCAGCCAGCCTGCTGTCTCTGGGGCCAGGAGAGGGGCCAGGTTGTGGGAGCAGCTCAGCCCGGGCAGGAACCGCTGTCCCCAGTAGAGGCTTCATGGGAGTGGGGGTGGGGGTGGGTAGGGGGTGGACAAAGCTCATAAGTTAGTTCTGCAAAAACATTTAGAGAGCATCTCGTCTATCAGGAGCACGTTAACACGTCCTAATTCACAGCCTGAGTCAGCGGGCCGGGTAACCTGCATCATTTGCAGCGCGCTTCCCGGGACCTTGAAAATACTGATCTGATCCAGCACATTCCCGGGGAGGCAATGACTTTCTAAGGTTGGGCAGCCTCCTTATTTCTGTAATGACCTTCTCTGTGGCTACAACGCGCATGTGCACTGGCCGAGCTGCGCCCGGGCTCGGGCACACTCCAAGACCTGGACCAGGTCCTGGGCTGCCCTGGGCTTCAGTTTCCTGACCTTGGAGTCAGGAAAGGGAGGCTGGACCATTTCCACCTTTGGTGTTCTGAGAGTGTTTGCATCTGGGTAATGGGCTAATAGTGAATCTCTTTCTGGCCAAGGTCAGTTTCATATGCTGTGGCTCTTCTATCCTTGCTTCTTTAAGCATGAATAAATTTGGAATGTTCCAGACTCTCAGGACCTGCGCTCTCAGTCCCACTGTTTCAGGACTAGGGATCCAGTGATCCCCATTAAAATCTTCAGAGGCCCTTCCTGTCCCATGGCCTATGTACTAACCCACCCCTTAGCATGGTTTTCAAGTCTCCTTATAAGTTCACCCTTTCCACCTATAAGACGAGTAAGTTCTGGGAACCCCGGGTGACTATAGTTAACAACAGTGTATTGTGTACTTGGAAGTTGCTAAGACAGTAGATCTTAAATGTTCTCATCACACACACACACACACACACAAGGTAATTAAGCGAGGTGATGGGCATGTTAACTAACCTGATGGCGGTAATCATTTCACCATATATATGCATATCCAATCACCGCCATTGTAAACCTTAAACTTACACAATGTTTTGAGGCAAATATATCTCAATAAAGCTGGAGGTAAATAGTCACCCCATCTCCTTTGCCAGTCCCCGTCCCTCCTCATAGTGCTGCACCCACACACAACAGGGGCATGCTGTTCCCCTAGCAGGCCATGCTCTGATCAGCTTTGCATCTTAGAACTTCTGTCGGCATGAGCTGGACTGCCAGCCCCTGGTGTGGAGACTGCCATATTATGGAATGGATCCTGGCAAACTCTGGCTCCTTCCCCTTCTCTGTGTATCTTGTGTTTGTGGACATCATTCTCCATCCTTAGATTCCCACCAGATGTCCAAGCCTAGATGCCAGCATGCGTGCCCCTTTCTTCCCAGCCCTGAGCCCCCCATCCCAGCCCTCCTCTTCCCTGCACCCATGTCCTTCATCTCTGACTTTACTCTTGCAAACTGCCCTGCCTGAAATGTCTACCACTTCCTATCTCCCTGATCCTTCAAGGTCAAACTCAAGGGCAGTCCTTCCTAAACTCTTCCCTCTCCACCCAGGTCTCCTCCTTTGTCCTGCCCTTCCAGAGCACCTGAACACTGCACCCCAAGGCAGGTCACCCGAGGGACAAGGAGGGAGCAACAGAGGACAATGTGTCAGCATCATCTTCTCCTGCCCTGCCATGGCCCCACGTGCCAGCAGTGCCCGCCCAGCAAGTCCTGGCCTCGGGGGTCCGGTCTCCCGGTCTGCACCATCTGTGGCCCAGGCTGGACCGCACAGGTGCTGCTGGCAGATGGAAACACTTGTTCAGAGGCCGCCTTTGCTGCCTTTATGTTCGGTGCATGTTATCCCCAGGGCAGGGCCACCAGGAGAGACGTTTCCCCTAGTTGCCCCTCCTGCCTGCTGAGCCGCCACCCCGTCCCTGGCTCCTGGGGCTTGTTAGGAGCCTTGCCAGCAAGATGATGTAGGAGGCAGCAAATTCACGGAGAAGGAGCACTGGCCCCTGGCAGATGCCAGGAAGGAACCCAGGCTCGGGGACCTTCCCGTCAGGACTAATCGTGAGCACAGGTCAGGGCCTTGCTGGGCACCCGGACGTTCCAGCTTATCTCACTGCAGCCTGTGAAGTCGGCATTTCCATCATTCTCGTGAGGAAGTGGAGGCAAAGAGAGGTGCAATGATGTGCCCAGAGCTTTCCTGATACTGGGCGATACGTGGAGTCATAAAACTGGGAACGA